GGTTAAATGTCAGTTATAAAGAAAGACTGCCACTTCCCAATATTTAATGGAGTAAAGAGGCAGTCTGGATTTTGAACCTTAAGCGGAGATCCCGGCTTCTATTATGGCCAAGATGCTAACCTAAGGACAAATAACACTATCTACAGTGACAGTGCCTGAATGAAGAGAATCACTTAGTATCACCTCCCCTCACCACTTACCACGCTTGCCAGATCGTTCTAGCAAGTGCCCAACATGGAAGAATCCTGTTTCTGAGAACGTTATAGCCAGAGTTTAGGTGAAGGGCACAGGGAGGGAGACAGAGAGAAAAAAAATAAACGGAAGCCCATTGGAAAACCACAAAAATGACAAGTCTGGACTTCTGATGTTGGGGTCTGAGGGTTGAGCATCTGTCTCTTCACTGGGCTGCTTCCAGAGTCTTTGGTCTGGTAGAGAGAAGTGTGGGTTTCAGCGTTCTGTTCCTGGACCAGATTGCCAACATTATGGATTTTAATTTAATTTTTCAGAGGTATCCTAAAGGAGGAGCTAATTTACTTCCTGAGGGTCCTCAGATGGGCTTCTGCAAAAGCCCACTGGAGAAAAGGCCTGATTTCCTGCAGTAGGGTAGAGGTCTGGTGAGTTTGGTTCAGAGCCCTCAGGACTCAATTTTTTAATCCTCTAGGGGGCAGCACTCAATAAATAATGGTAATAACTACCTGTGGTAGCACTTCTGGTGGTGCTTTTACTTCTAGGTGCTCCAAGTCCTTTATCAGACCAGCGGAGATTCAGAGTGAGACCAGTTCTCCCCCAGCCCGCTCTGAACAAGACCCCGCAGGCCCAGGAAGGACTTAGAATTGCTTTAATCCAGGACTTCCAAGGACTCTTGGGAACTAGACACAAATCCCACGTGTGCCCAATGGAAAATGAACCTTTAGGGAAATTCTCCAGACTGGGGCTGGCTCAGACCTGCCAAACCCCAGCTTTTGTCTCGACTGGAATCTCAGGGCTTTGGCTGCAGTTGGTTTGGTTACCACCAGAGGCGCAGGGCCGAGGAGCCCGGCACCTTGCTTTTCATTATTTTGTGAGTTTACATCGTTTAGTAGGCATGGAGAAGCCTGCCTACTGAAAGGCCAGTAGCACCAACAGAAACAACGGGCTTGTGAACAGAAATACAGAACTAGAAAACAGCTAACCAGTGAAGCTGAGATTCCTGGCAGCATCGCTGACTCACCTAGGACGTTTCGCCTCATTATCTTTAATTGTGAAATAATAACAGATAATCCCACCCTACATTCCATTCCTTTGACAGGAAGGGATGTGGGGAACATAAAATGGATTCATAAAAGATGCAAAGGGAAGCCGTAACCTAGCCACACCCCAGTGGAAAGATGGGCTTTCCCAGCTGGGCAGTCCCAAAGCAGAGCGCGCACAGAATCACCCAGGGCAGCGATTCTCAGCCGGTGGGCCGCAAGAATTTTTAAAACATGCAACACCTGGCTATTTAGTCAGGGGCACTGGCCTCTTTTTCCTTAGATTGTCAACTAAAAAAATGACAACAGCAAACACATTAGCCATCCAGTGTGAATGAATCAAAATTATACCTATTTTTTTTTTTTATCATCAGATGAGCAAAAACTATATTATTTGGTGTGCCACAAGAACTTTAGTAATTAGTTAATGTGTGCCATGAGATGAAAAAGGTTGAAAACTGCTGATCCAGGGTGAGTGTTAAAAATTCAGGTCCCTGGGTGCCATCCTCCTGCAGGTTGGATTCCTTGAATCTGGAGTGGTATAAAAATCTGTATTTTAACACACATTTTAGTTGATTCTGATGCAGATGCTTAACAGGCCAAGCAATTGGGAACCTCCGTCCTGAGGTTTTATATTTACACACAGCCTTCATCGATATTGGCACATTCACTGAAGGACACCTGGATAGGTATTTTTTCACATTTCTTTTCCAGGCACTTTTCAAATGCATGTCTCAAGATTCTGGGAAAAAGCACCAAAAACGTGGCCCTTAAAATGCCAGAGTAGGGTGGGGGGATCCCAGGTCTAACTCATGACCTTTATTTAGCAGTAACAGCAAAGAGCCTATTTGAATATAGGAAAAGCTCAGCTCACGGGGCAGGAGGATTGCAGGAACAAGTTCAAAGAGCCAGCTGATGGGGTTTATGGAGCTGGATCCAGGCCTTTCACCACCAACCCACTCAAGCATTGGTTGTTACTAGAGGTTTGTTTCAGGTATGGTTCTCCATCTGTGTTCATCACATTGTACTTATTAAATGCTCATGGAAGCATGACTATGCAGGAGGAACGCAAGCAAGTAAGGCATTTGGGTCTTGCCTCCTGGGAACACAGGATTTAAAAGCTCCTGAAGCTTCATGCTTCCACAATAGATACCACCTGTCACAGGGTGCCTCCCCTTATCTCAGCCCTAACATCGACAAGCTCTCACCCTGAAAGGGGGAGATATGAAGCATAATTGCATCTTAATCTGTAATTTACTACACTGCTTTAGTTAATATTTAGCTGCCTCTGTCTGAGAAGCAAAGCTTCAGTTAAAATGTAATAGCTCCTCATTTTTTATTCTTTTGTTTGAAGCTAAAGTCCAGGTTTCTGGTCAATAGGGGTTTTCCCCACTCACCTCTTAAACAGTCAACATTTTTCCTACACATTTGGACACTGCCTAGTAGTTTCTATCTGATATTACCTTTGGTGGGTTCCCAGAATTATTCTTACAGTATTGAAGTCTCCTTCACTCTAAACTGTGTGTGTCTCTCATCTTTTTCTTAGACACAGAC